AGGGCTGCTGCAACCACTTGGTGTGGTGGGATGTCTCTCCTCAGCCTAATTTTCCAATTAAAGACATCCCCGCAGGGGGAAGAATCACGTTGTATCATTGCAGATGCTATCAGCCTGCATTCCCCCCAGGTGAGAAAGCCAGGCTGCCCAGCTCTGCTGCTCTATTTTCGCCCTGCAGACTGCTCATTTCCTTGTCCTAGGTCTGCGCTTTCATTTCACTCCCTTCCAGCTTCCCAAATTAGCACGGGCAGGCTCCTGCTCTGTTTGCTTTGGAAGAAGATGTGTTGCCACAAATTATTTTTGATTAAAGTAAACAAAGACTCTCCCTCTCTTTCCCCCTCCACCCCCCGCTTTGATGTTGTCACTAATTTTAGTGCCCAGAGGAGCGAACCCAAGAGCTCTGGCTGGGGCCCAGCACAGGACACCGGGACACCCGGGGCTGCCAGCCCTGCTGGCACCTCTGCTAGGGCCGCACATGTCCCTAAGCCCTCACACAGCCCCATGCTGGGGTATTCCCATAAGAAGCAGCCTGGATTAGTGGGAGCCACTGCCACCACAGCTGTGGTGCTCATCCAGCACTGGGGCAGGAGGTGTGGGCACAGTGGGAACACACAGCCTGTTTCCAGGATTTATCCCAGCTGGGCTGTTCCTGGCAGCTGAGCCAAGGGATTAGCAGGTACAGTAATTCCCATTTAACCTGTGGGGAACTGGTGCTGAATCACATTCCCATTTCCAGAGCCTACTGCCCACCCATGCTCACCCCCCAAGCCAGGGCTGGGACCTGAGGAAGCAGTGAACCAGGAGACAGTCACTAAGCATGCAGCATGGCACGGCATAGCAGCATGAAGCCAGACCATGGGCAGGATGACACCAGGTCATGTCAGATCCATGCAGGGTTCTGCAGCCCTAGCAGTGTGCAGGTGATGACCTGCACGAGGCCCTGACTCAGAAAGGGCACGTGGGGCATTATTTACCCAGACTTTTTTTGGTAGCTGCTTTGCAAGGAGATGAAATCAGGGGAAGCATCTTCCCACCCCAGAGAGCCCCCAGCTCAATGAGGTTTGGGGTGGCTGTCCATTGGGGGACACACAGAAGAGCCCCTACATCCCCCCCCCACATACCCTCCTCTCCAGCAGCCCCTTCCTGGTATCAAACCTGCTTACCACACATAGCTATTTATAGCCTGAGCTGATGTTGATTTGGATGGAGTGGAAGATAAGAAAGTTATTTTTAGGAGCAGGCTTTGCTGGCTCAGGCACGCTCTGTCCCACCTGCGGAGCACAGCTGGGTGCTGGGACAGGTGACCCAGCAAGCACAGCCTGAGCTGGCATTGTGCTGCAGGATAAGCCTGGTCCCTTCCTACAGATCCCAAATCCATGCTGTTGGGGGAGAATGATGCCAACAGGTTCTGCTACTTTCCCTTTGTTGGACCTCTGCAACTTTGGGAAATGTCAGCCTACATAGCCAGGGCCAGGTAAAGAGGCAGGCAGCTAAGAATTAATCTCCCCAGAAGGAACTGCTGGGCAATGTTGCCAAAAAAACATTGCCAGCCAGTCTAGCCTACAACAGCTGCATTGCTTTGGAAGCCCCCAGCTGCCCTTTGTGGCCAAGATTTGGTCTCAGCTGAAGGCTGCGCTGGCATGGCTTGCCCACCAGCTCTATGATTCTATGATCCTCTCCTCGAGAACACTGGCAGGAACCATCAGGGAGGATGCTCCAACGGTAATTAACCTTCAGGCATATTATGCAAGCACATTGTTTTCAGGAAGGATGGGAGCGGTGTGGAGCCCAGAGACACAGAGCTGGCAGGAATGGGGGACACACTGTGACCACGGTCGTGGCTGCAGGACAGTGACCTGGCGTGATTAAATCCCTCATTCCCCGAGAGGAGTTGTAAAAATCCCATTGCTCCTGGGGCCTAGAAGGGGTGCCCATGAAGAACAGCAGTCCTGGATGGCGCACAGAGTGCTCTGGCCACACAGCCATGACACATCCCATCCCCACTGGTGCCACGTTCTGTCCGCACTGGTTGGGACACCTGGACACCTCCCTGCAGAGCTCCTGGGTGGCTGTTCAACTTTTGATTTACGGCAGCACATATCAAGAAGACTCTGCGCTTCTTATTTCAGGGAAAAAGGAGTCACACAAAAGTTTCTGCCCTGGGTGTTTGTGCTTGAGGTGCCCTGTATCACAAAGCTGCAAAACCCCAGGGGCAACAAAACTGGAGCACAACACATGGCTAGAGTACCCTGGTGCCATCAGCACTTGGCGCTGGTACTCACAATCTGTGATCACTGCTGTATCATGGACCCCAGCTCTGCTGGCACACCCTCCTCCCAGCCTGAGCTGCACCAGGGGATGCTCCTGGAGAGGATGGAGCCAAAATGGGACTCGGGGAGGCAGGGAACGGGCTGGTGTGAGAGCACAGAGGGTGCCAGACAGTATCTGGTGGTCTGCACAAAGCCATGGGCCCCCCACGTGGCCAGGGCTGGCCAAGCAGCCTCCTATCCCATGCTGAACTATTACATAAAGGCAGGATCGTATGAAGGTTGAGCAGTGAAAATGTAAATAACATCGGTGCCAAGCCCAGCCTGGGGCCAGCAGGAGCGTGGGGCTGTGTGCGGGGCACAATGCATGTGGAGGGGGCTGCGGGGAGCAACTTTGTGCCATGCCTCAGCCTGTGCTGTTTAAATCCATTGCTTGTGAAAACCAGACCTGAAACAAGCAAATAAACATTATCTGGAAGCACAACAGCCCTGACAAATCTCCCAAACATTCAGTGGGCCGCTGGCAGCGGTTGCACAACAGGAAGAGGCTGCGGATCGCATTGCTGCGCGCGGCTCCCGGTGCTCCCGCTCGGGCTGTGCGTGCGGCGCTGCCGGGTGCTGCGTGTCGCCCCAGCGTCCTGCCTTCAGCCTTCTGCCCTCGGCACAGCGGCATCCGTCGTGCACAGGCGTCCCAGGAGCACCGAGGGGCTTCTGGTCTCAGCAGAACAAGTTAATGATTTAACCCCCTTCCGAGCCGAGTTGTTTTTAAACCTCCACGTTGCGACGTGTCGGGAAGGAGAGAGTTTGACCCGAGCGTTGCCAGCTCCTGGGTGACGGCGCGGGGGTTCGGCTCTCTGCTGCGGGGGGAGGACAGCGGTCACCTCTCTCCCCTCGGCGGTCGCTTGCTGCCCCCTGGTGCCGCTTCGCCACAAGTGCTGCAGTGGCGGCGACCGAGGCACGGAGCCACGGGCTGCGCTGTGCCAAGCCGGTGTCCTTCTGCGGCATGGCAAGGGGAGAGCAGGAGGAGCTGCGTTTCTCCAGTGGGGCTTTTACCGTGCAAAAAATGGCATCACCGCTGCAAAGCTGGGGGACCTCCGGTTTAATGCAGCCCACGAGGTGGACGCAAATCCTCCTTGCTGGGATGGAAGAGACGCGCAGGGGATGCACGATGTGTCCCAGCTCCACTAGAGCTCCGAGCAGAGCTGCAGGAGGGAGCTTCTTTCCCTGGGGGGGAAAGTAGGGAGTGGGTAGCTCTGGAACAGTGAAGGCACAATTCTGCTCTCAGGTGCAGACAAGCAGCAGGCAGGTTTGTTCCAGCCCTGTGCATCACCCAGTGAGTGCACCCAGCAGAGCCTGGGCTCCCCAGGTCCTCATTGCTATGATACTTTTGTCACTTCCTGAGGTTGACATGGAATAAGAGTACCTGGCAAAAACACATGCCATTGACCTTATTGATCTTTAGTTTTAATTCTGGGTTAGAGGAAGAGGACTGATGAGAAGCAAATGCTGTCCTGGTGGGAGCAGCACAGGGTGCACAGGGATGAACACAAAGGCCAGCAGTGCTACAGGCAACGTGGCAGCTCACCCAGAGCGACCACACAGCTGTTCCCCAAATCACATCAAAAAAAAAAAGAAAGAAAAAAAATCGATAGAGCAGCACATCAAGCCAGCATGTGGGTTCTACTCTGCAGAGCAAACTGAGCACTTCTAGGAAGCAGCTCGATGTAGTGCCCCTACCTTAGGAGTGCATTCTTACAACTGTCTGCTTGTGAAAAAGAAACCCCAAAACAATGAAGCCCACTGAAACGCCAACCCCACGTATCTTCCTTGCCTTCCCCACGCTGGTTGCAGCAGAACACACAGGGCTGGAGGGGCACTGTGCCTCACTGTGGGTGTCCTGTCCCACACAGGCAACAGGAACATGTCAGAGAATCTTATGTCCCAGAGTGCTTCCATCCTGGCTTCCCCAAGATAAACATGTTCTGCTGCCAGGAGGGTTGTGAAATGCCATGAGTCAGGGGAAGGTTCAGACAGTGGGAGAAGGACTGCAGGGCAGCTCCCACATGGCACCCTGCACTGCTCAGCCCCACAGCAGCACAGCACACCACATTTTCCCCATAGCTGAACCAAATTCCAGATGGGAGCCCCACTGCCCACTTCCCAGGGCCACAGCCTTACCTTGGGGTGAGGGTTCTGGTTCCCAGAGGCAGCCTTTGGCACACAGGAGCGTGGGGCTTTGCCGGCTCCCAGCAGGGAATGAGGGCTGAGGTGTCAGTGCCCACCTCCAGGTGCTCCCTGTGCCCATCAGTGCTCTCAGCTGCCGTCAGCCCCTGGGCAAAGGGCTGGGGGTTCTGTCACCAGGCAGGAGCTGCCCCTGCTCCTGCAGCGATGTCCAGCTGCAGCCAGGAGGTGCCCATTGCATACTTTTACCATGTTTTAGTTTTTTAGTGCAAAGACTCAGCTCAAGTTGCATGGCCCCCAAGGTTTTATTGTGCTTTTTGACTGTTTAGGGCTACCTCCTCTTAAAAAGGAAAAAAACAGCAATTTCACCTTTTTTCTTAGAGGAGGTGAGCATGGAACCTTCCTGCTCATCATGATCTCTCTCAGTATTACCAAGTGTTCCTCATGGCAAAAGCTGGAACTCATAGAAATGTGAGAGGAAAGAAGAGAGCCCCAACACTGCCATTCCACACAGCCCTGCCCGTCCCAAAGGAAAGAAATCAACACATGGAGTGCTTTTTAAATTCCTAGATTTTAATTGCCATAGAAATCCTCTGCAGACAGCAATCTGTGGCATATGAGAAACCATACAGATACCCAAACATTTCTTTTCTGTTTTTTACCACGTAAAACTATCCATCTTTTTTTTTTTTAATTATGTTTTTTTTTTAAATCAACTCCTTTAGTAGAAACCATAACAAGCGATTAACAGGAAATTGTTCATTTTCCAAAAGAACAAATGTTTCTTCTCTCAAAAAGAGCAGAGAAACCACTGGGGAGTTCCAAATATATGTACAGGTACCTGGGCATGATGGCCGTCACGCACCGGCCGGTTCCCCTCTTCCACACGTTTTCAGCACCGTCACCAATCACAGAATTCACGGAATTCATTAAGAAATGTGTTATTTACATCGGAGCATTCTGCAGCACAAGGGGACAGAGAAGAGCCGAGACACCCTCGCCCCGCGCCCGCCCTCCCCCGTGGGCTGCTCACAGGCTGTTAAGGCATCACACATGCACAGGAGCTGCTCAGGGATCTGAGGAAATCTGCACAGCCGAAGTGTGAAGGCATCCACACACACAGCCGTGTGACTTCCACGTGTTCTCTCTCATCATCTGAGCAAGGAAAGGAGCGCCGTGCCCAGAGCGCGGGGTTCGCACAGCACGGCAGCATGCAACGCGGCGGTCAGGGCTGGGAACACGGCGAGCCCTGCTCCGGGACGCCTCCTGTCCCCTGCGTTTGTCAGAGAGTCCAGGGGATGTCATTCACAACTGTGTGCCAGTAATGTGGGCAACGTGGGCTGCACTGGGAGCTTCAACACACTGCATGGCTAGCGGGTTGTGGTTTCTGCTCATTTCTACTTAACCTAGGAGTAGAAAAGGTTCGGGTCCTGTTCCTGCGTCTACGTGGGCTGCTCAGAGGTCGTAGGTCGCTGTGTCAGCAGTGCTCTAGGTCGGTGTGTCAGTGACTCTGCTGCCTCAGGGACTTTGGCACGTTCACCACGGTTTGTACAAATCCCTGAGAACTCATCAATGCTTCGATGTGTTACAGCTCCGAGACGCGGCCTCGGCACAGCTCCAGCCTCATCACGCCTGCTTCTTGCTGTTGCCTGTGCTGTGCAGCATTGCCAGGAACTCCAGGATGAGGTTTGCTGTCTTGCGTGGCCGCTCCACCACCACCGAGTGGCCACAGTTCTCCAGGATGGACACGTGGCAGTCCGGGATGGCACTTGCTAAGATGTCAGCACCAGAAACATCCAGGACCTGGACGTTGGGGAGAAAAGTCACTGCCGTAGCACTGGGCTTTACTGGCCATGGCAGAAACCCCATTGGAGATGCCTTTGCAGGCTCAGTCGAGATCATAGAGACATTAAGGCTGGAAAAGTCCTCTAAGACCATCTAGTCCAACCATCAACCCATCACCACAATGCCCACTAAACCTTGTCCCTCAGTGCCACATCCACGTGTTTCTTGAACACCTCCAGTGACAGTGACTCCACCACTTCCCTGTTCCAGTGCTCAGCCACTGTTAATCCAACAGCACAGGACACTGCCCACCATGCCTGCCAAAAGGGCTCCTTTGGTGCCTCAAACAGAAACAGACTGTGCCATGCACCACATGGCACACTGCATTTGTCAACCCAACAAATGCTGATGCTGAGCATCAAAACAGATGCTGAGCAGGGATGCAGACATGGCCTTTGCAATGCTGGTGGGGGAGGGCTGAGGCCATGCTGTACCATCTCCCCAGGCTCTGCACTGGCTGCCAGCCTATGCCTGCACTTTGCCCCTTCCCCAACCTCCAGATCTCCCTGTTTCTCACTTGTAACCACATGGAGTGATGCTTTCTCCTTGCCACCTGCACACTAAAGAGCACATCTCTCCCTGGTTGCCAGCACAACTCTACTGGCAATTTATTCCTCTTCCCAGATTATGTCAGACTTGGCAGCACCCAAAAGCCTGTAGCCAAGAGGCAGTCACATACCTGGTCCTGCTTTCCCCAGATGACCTGCGTCGGTGCTTTGATCTTGTTCATGTTCTCATGGAGAGAGTGCCGGGACTTCTCATCCACAATTTCTAAAAACACTGTGGTGAACAGGGGGAGAGTAAGCCTATGGAGAAGGATGCTTTGTGTGCAGCCCCATGGCATGGAGAACCAGCTCACCAGCAGGGGCGGTGGTGGCATTCAGCAGCTCCACCAAACTGCAACAGAGGCATTCTTCTTCAACCCCACCTCCCCATAGACACCAGCATGCACTGGATGAGGACAAAGCAGCAGCCCCGTTGCCTATGCATCCCTAAATCCATCCACCCCACTGCCCCCTAGGGCTCTCAGCATGAGGTACAGGGGCAGCCCAGGGATGCAGGACACACTTACATTTTCTGTAGAAATCGTTGTGTGGGATGCGGACGTCCACCAGGCCCTGAAGGATCTGCAGGGGGAGAACAGGGACGTACTGGGGGGCTGCACCTCGGATAGGGCCAGCAGTGTGCCTGCCCCACCACCAGCTGGCCACTGCATGTCTGGCTGTCACATCAGCACTTGGGTAACAAGCATTTCACCAGAAACTATTTCAGCCTTTTGTAATGCTAAACTGCATTTTTCTCTGATGGCTGGCAGGCTGTTTCAGCCATGACTCTGCTTTTCTTCCTTCTTTTGTTCTTTTGCCAAAAAAATTGGTCTTGGCATGACTTCACATTTTTTTCTTATTCTCCAATCTGCTCATCCCAGACTTCCTAAGGAAAACCTGGCTAAATAGTGAGCTCCTTGCCAAGTTCCTCTCACCTCACAATGCCGTGATTAACATTTCCATAGCTTCTGCTAAAAAAGCAACAAACAGTTCTCCTCCAGGCCAGACAATAGCCTTCTTTATTTATTTAGTGCTTCCTGACAGCCATATTTATTGAAAAACACTTCTATTTCACAGCCTGCTGCTGGAGCTCTTGTGCCTCATGCAGGGTTATTCCAGCCGGCACTGGCAGAGGGCAGCAGGGAAGCTGCCAGTGGGCAGATCCGGGGTGCCGCCCCAAAAAACCTCTCCTGGTTCCTCACCTGCTGTGGCACCTTGAAGCGAACGTAGGAGCAGAGCTTCAGCATGTCGGCCATCTCCTCGGGTGTGGAGGGAATCAGTGGGATCCTGTCAGTGCGCTCGGACTCCTTCAGCTCCCGGAGCATCTTGACAAATTTGCTATCGGTGAAGCTCGGCAACCCTGGGGCAAAGAAGGGGTGAGCACGGTGCAATGCAGCAGAGCCCCCAGGAGAAGCCCCCTGTCCTGCATGGGCTCCTGCACCCATCTGCCCGAGGCTTTATCTCGAGCTGGGCAAACTGCAAAGCTCTGGAGAACAGCGATCAGGGCAGGGCTGTTAATTCCTCTCGTGAGCTCTTTGCCTTGCCAGAGAATTCCAGACTATATATATGAATAGTTTCAACTAATTTTGCACTATGTGATGTGTATGGACCCTTTAGCACCAGCACTACTCTGGGTTCTTGCAGCAGCCCCTGCTCATTCTTCTTCATGTTTGGCCTGCCCCACGTTCTCACCTGCAGGACAAATCAGAGTCAGGCTGCACACATCGTGTGGGTACTGCGCAGCATAAACCCCGGCAACGTTCCCACCCATGGAGGTGCCGACGAGGTGGAAGGGCCTCTTGTTCAGTTTGATGCACTCCACGAACTACACAGGAGCAGAAGGAGCATTGTTAGGGCAGAAGAATCAAAGGCGTGGTGTCCTTGGAGAAATTCACCCCAAAACCATGAGGCCAGTGGACCGACCCGGCAGCCTGGGCAGGACTGTGGGAGGGAGTGGGGCCATGTGGGTACCAGCATCCCTTACATCCCTCGTGCAGCAGGAGTGACAGCGAAGCACCAAGAGACTTTACCTGGTGGATCCTCTTTGCTTGTCCCATAATGGAGTAATCGTCCAAGGCTGAGCGGGTTGTGCCCTCATGCCCAGGCAAGTCAACACACACCAAGTGCAGGTTCTTGGGGAGGAACTGCCAAAACAAAATGGGGTGATCATACCAATGGGAGGCAGATTTGCATTCATAGGGATGAAAAGGATCCAACAAACAACAGTCACAGAGCAGAGGGTATTCCTAGCACGTTATAATGATCATCGTAGCCCGTGTGCCCCCACACCACCCTTGAGTCCCAGACTATTGACTCACTAAGCAACAACAAGAAAACTGGAGTCCCACCTTGACTATGGACAGCCACATGTCTTTGTGGCCTGAGAAGCCATGTAGCATCAGGATAGATGGCCGGTACCCAGGTCTTCCTCTATAGGAATAACAGAACTGATAGCTGTCGTCATAGTTTACGTATTTGACCTGCATGCCCAGGGCTCGACGCCAGTACCTGGAAACAGGGAGAAAATAACTCCAGGAGCAAGACCAGGGCACAGTTGGGACCCTTTTCCCATATGCCACCTCAATGGATTTGAAAATGTGTTTAGATACACACACCAGCAGTCTGTTGGTGACCATCCCTCACCCAGAAGATACCAGCCTGACCCCACAGAAAACTGGGCTATTCCTCAGGTAGCAGAGAGCTCCCACCTGCAGCCTGGCTAAAGATGCTGCAGTAAAACTACCAGCCAGAGGGGACCTGGGCAGAGATTATCTGTGACACTTTGGACAGATGCTGTGTACGTGCAGTCAAAGGCCATGGAATAGGTACAGTTTGTCTGCATTTCCCCTACAGTCAAAAGTCAGAACAACTGCTGGGCTCCTCCTGGCAGCCAAGCTGCTTCCAAATACCTACATGCACAAAATCAGAATTTACTTGAGACACAGAATCAAGGTCACCAACACTGTGCTGGGCTGTCCTAGCTCTCTGCCCACTCAAAGCTTATGCATAGCACAATCCTCTTTTACCATAATCCCTTTTTTGAGGGAGTTAGTGGGACTTAAGCAATATCATGGCCATGCGCGGGTCCTACAAGGAGAGGCGAATTTCTCCCTGAATAAGTGTCTTAAGAGTGCTCGCCTCAAAGGCACCGGTGTAAACTACTGATGGGCAAGTTGATAACGTTTTTAGCAACTGATCCTGATGGATCAATTCAGCAGAAGACAAAATAATCTGTGCAAAGCTGAACTGATCTCCCACAAGGCGTTAACAGGCTCAGCAGCCACAGCTAAACCGCTTAACCCGTGGGCAGCAGCGGCTGACCCTGCTGGGCTGGCCCCAAGTGCCCCTCAGCCCCTGTGGGCACTAACAGGGAAGCATGATTGGTCCTCCAGGTCCCTGTGCTGTGGCATCTCAGTGATGATGAGGAGGGAAATGAGTGATGGGAGAAAGGAAGGGTGTCCGGAGATGCGCCACTGCCTTTCTGCTCTCACCCAGCCTATAATTCACAGCCCTGAAGGACATTGCTGTGGGCTCTTCTCTGTCTCCCCCCCAACACCACGAGGTGATGCTTCGCCCCCTGATGCGCAGCGGGGAGCTGCTGTTGGGTTGGTTTGCTGAGGTTTGCATTACCTCACCCCTCCCACCAGCTCCCAGATGCTTTGATTAGAGGGTTGCTATTAAATGCTCCATCAGAAGGAAGGACTTAATCACGCTGTGCGGCTGAGCAGCAGGGCGGGATAACATCCTTCACCTATAAGAGGTCACTTTGATGGGGAACACCCCTGAGCCAGGCTGCGGGAGCCACCATCTGCCACCAGCATGTGATAGCAGCCGTGTGGGAGGCCGGTGAGATGCTGCCCAGCTCTCTGCAGGAGCACGATTCCAGCTTTCCTCTGCTACAAGCCCAGAAATGAAAGCCGACAGCATGTTTATTGCTAATTTCCAGGGACAAATGGGGATGAAGGACGTAACACTGGCCTGCTGCTATCAGGAAGGACAGGATGCACGTGGGTAAGGAAAACCACCCCTGCACCCACAAGAGAGGGGGAGAATGGGGCGAGTCCTTTCTGTAAGTGCCAGCACAAGGACAGCCCCTGCCCTGGAAGCTGAGCCCTGTTTTCAGAGGGGAGCACTCACCAGTAGTAGATGCGGATGAGCGCAGAGGGCCACAGCAGGAAGGAGGCCACAAAGGCCAGGATGGGGATGGCCAGGGTGCCGCCAGCGATGACGAACATGTTGAGCACATCGAGGTCCATGCTGCTCCTCTGGCCTGGCCCTACCTGGGTGCATTGAGGGATCAGGGGTCAAACACCAGAAACTAGACAAGGCTGAATGAAATCTTGGCAGTCAGGAGAAGAGGAAAATGGCAGGGTGTGAGGCAAAGGACAGCGGTCAGGAGGGCAATAAAGTTTAAAGCTCAGTATGACTAATCATTACAATGTTGTCCTCCTCACAGTGCATATCCTTAAGAGCAATAAGCTCCAGGTGGGCACAGACCAAGGCACAGTGATGCACAGAGCTCAGCTGGTGCGATGCCCACCCATGAGGTGCTCACGGCCCTGCAGCTCACATGCAGACCCCATGCAGGCCCTGCCTGCTCCCAAATCCCCAGCACACAGCTGCTGACCTAGAATCCATAGCCTGAGCCCAGCTCCAGGCTCATTACTGCTCTGCACAGGCACTGACTAATCAAGGGAGCAGAGCCTATTAGTGGTCTTGGGAAGGGATGGAAGGAACCTGGCAGGGTGCTCTTTGGCCACCAGCCCTTATCCGAGACATATTCATCCCTGTTCCTGATACGGCACCAAAACACCCCTATACTCCAAATGCCCAGGAGCCATTTTGTGCTTGCTGCCCCTCTCAGGATCCAGCCCAGCTCCCAAACAACCTGCATCAATGTCCCCCCAGATATCACACCAGGACAGGTGCCCACAGCCCTTCGCTCTGCTCTCCCAACTGCCAGCAGCAAGGATCTATTTTTCTCATCAAGGGATTAAACCATGCAACACACAGCCTTTAATTCCTGCTGCTCACCAGCCTATGTCTCACCCGTTTCCTCAGCACTAGCTGTCTTGTCACACTTGATTATAAAACAAAACACTTCCAGTGCCTGGTGTCCTCTCACCCATGTCTCCTCCTGCCCCAAATTTCCCCACGTCAGCACATGCAGATGTATTTCTGCTTCCTTTAGCAGCCAGGCTGGCGCGCTTGCAGTGAAACAGGAACCAAAGCAGCACAGCAATATCCTCTCCCCCACTGGTGCTGCAATACTGAATCACATCACAAACACACGCCGTATGGCACCAAGATGAAAAGTTCGCAAAAAGTCCACAGCAAAATCCAGCTTCCCACCTTCCCCAGGGAAAAAAAGGAGTAACTGTAATTCAAGGAATGCAGGAGATGTTTGCACCAGATCCCTCCTTAGCAAAGCCAAACATCAGCTACTTCCTCAAGCCTGAATGACACAGTTATTCATTTCACTGTCATTTTGCAGGAAGATCTTTGCTCCCTGTGCTCCCTGCCTATAAACAAGTCCTTGGAGCAGCAGGAACACCTCGTGCCAGCAGCAGGGCTCCACGGTCCAATCCACCTGCCAGCACGTGTTGCCTTTGGCTGTGCTGCTAAGACAGGGAAGAAATGAAGCACACAGCACAGGCACTGCAGCCCATGAGGAAGACAAGTGAGCAGCAAGGACAGCACAAGGACACAGTGGGATGGGGCCACTGCCCCCGAGGTCACTGCCTCAACTCCTCTGCCTTCACTACTTCTGGAAAGCAAAGCAAAAAGGGGAGAGGCATTCAAAGTCCGGCTTACTCTCTAGAGATCCCCTCCTCCTCCTTTCGGCACAGGTCTTGCTTGCTGTGGGTGTTGTTGCTCACTGTTGAAAGAGGAAAACAAGGTTAGGATTGCTCTGCTGCTTTCCTTCTCCTTGCTGACCTGCAGCAAGGGAAGCAGCCAGTTTGGGATATTTAAGGCACCAGCTCCCCTTCCAAACTCATCATTGGTGTCTTCTGACTAACCTTTGCCCTGCTTGTGTAAATGCAGAACTTTGTGCAGCGTTGTGCCAGCAGGGCACTCGTTCCAAGTGGGATCACAGTGTGCGCTACAGATGCAGATAATGGGAAAAGGAAGCGTGGCCCCAGGCACCCCAATGTCATGGAGGGTTGGCTGCCTGGGAGCCCTTGGCTGCCTGCTGGAGGGACTGCTAAGGCTGAACAGTGAAAGTAAATGGGAACAGCCTGGAGCCTTGTGACTGCCACCTATTACTCAGCACGAGGCTGCAAGAGTTGTTGCAAACAGTGCAAAGCAAGCCCTCATCAATTAACTCACAAACACCCATTAGGCAAGACCAATAAATGCCTTGAGATGATGACAGCAGTAAGGCTGTGTAGCCGGCAGGGCATGGGATGCTGAACCAGGAACACCGGTTTGGCCTCTGCGTCCCATGGCTGCTGGCAGGGGGCTGGGAGACAGCCCAGAGCTGGGGTCCAGGCACCCCAAGCAGGCACTGACATGTGGCAGAGGCTAGGAGATGGGAGGGGGCTGCAGGGTGCTGCAAGGACAATATGTCAATGACAGTCCCCAGGGCCACCAGCCAAAGAGACAAGTGACTGATAGCCAGGTTGGAATCCTCATTAATATTTGTTCACTTCCAAGCTCATTGGGGCACCCCAGGGGGGCTGGAGAAGACCCAGCGATGCAGCCCAAGTATACATGGGGATTTTTTTTCCAAACCTCATGCAAGATGCAGCAGGAGCAGCAGCACACAGCAGTGTGTGGGATCAGAAACCTGCATTTAGCTCAAAAACAAAACCCGAGCCCACGGATGTGAAAGCAGCTCACATCGTTTCCCAGGGAGACGGTGAGGCTTTGCACTGAGCAATGCCTCTCATAGAGCAGCTTCTCATAGGCGAGCCCCTGCAATGGGATGAGCAATGGCAGGGCTGCAGGAGGTGCAGGGGAACAGGGGGGGTTATGGCCACAGAGCCCTTGTGATGCACCAGCTGGGAAGCGATGCAGCCTGCAGCTGTGTGCATGGCCAGGGAGCATTTTCACGCCAAGAAATGCCTGGTGCATGCTGTTCTGCTCATCAGGTGTGTCAGAACTCAAGCAGAAAGGTTATGGGTCTGTGCTGGGCTGGGCAGGCAGGGCTGCCTCCTGCACACCGCTCCCTGCGCCCACGGCTCCCTGTTTCTCCCCAGCAGCCCAACAGACTGTACATCTCCAAACATTCAGATGCAAAAAAACGCTTCTAAGCATACTCTAATTATTGCATGAAAGCAACTTTAAGATCCCACAGCAAAACCAGGGGGCTCCAGTGGGCTTCAGCAGCACAAACAGAGCCCCCAGAAGCCCCAGCTCATAGTGCTAATGGTGTAAGGAAAACTGGCACCGTGCATATAAACATCTCCCTCACAACCGCCTCCCCCTGCCATCCCCAACAGCCAGAAAAACACTATTGACTGTCATCAATGACATAACTAACATTACGATTCCTCAGAGGTATGTTTCACAGCGTGACCTTTTAGATACCAGTCGCAGCGAAGTAATAATTTAAGATCTATTCGTATTTGGACGATCTCTGTCCGTCAGCCAGCTCTCTGTCTTAATCCAGTCTCCGAAGGGCTGGAAGTAGGAAATGTGCCCTTTCACCTTCATTTATTTATAGACGGCAGAAATGAGATCATTATTTCTACAGCGCCGGTTCACAAAACACCCATCTCTGACCCACTTGCAGCTGCACGGCGCGGCCCGGGGCCACGAGCCAGACCCCACCGCCACGCCACCCCAATGCAGATGTCACGAGTGCACCCGGCCTCAGCCCCCTCCAGAGGATGGGTTCTGGGTGCTGAGGCCACCCCCACCCTCTCCCCTCATCCATATATCCCTCCCCAAAACCTGCTCCAGCAAAATGACGGCATCCTTCAGCTAGCACAGCAGCATCACCGCTCTCCTCCTCTTTGTGCCCTGATTTTATTTTTTTGAATTGGAAGGACGGTTTTTAAGCATATCTTTACAAATTACTCCTTGCGTTCCGCTAAGGCCTTTCAGTCTCCTCCTCCCTCCCCGTATCCATCAATGCCAGGGCCCGCGGGGCAGCGGTTCGGTATCCGGGTATCGCCCCCGGTGCCCCTCGGCCCCAGCATCCCCCCCCGCAGCTCCTCGCCCCCGTCGCTTACCGGGCCGGGCCGGGCGGCGATGGCAGCGCCGAGAGAAACGCGGCGGCTCCGCTGCGCCCGCCTCCCCGCGCCGGTACCGGGAAGGATCCGCGGGGGCGCAGCGGAGCGCACGGGCGGTGATGGAAGGGGCGGTGCGAAGGGAGCTGCAGTGGGGGTGAAATGGGAGGTGGGAGGGGGTTGAAAAGGGGGTGCAAGGAGGGGGAGGGGGGGTGGAAAGGGGGCTGGAAGGGGCTCAGAGGGGATGGAATGGGGTTGCGCGGTGGGGGGGTGAAATAGGAGACGTAGCGGGGCTTCAGTGAGATTGTAAGGAGGGACACGACAGGGGGGTGTAATGGGACTTCGTTTGAGGTGTAGTAGGGCTGCAGAAGGAGTACAAGGGAGGGATGCAATAAGGGTACAAAAAGAGGATACAACGGAGCTGCAGTTGGGGTGCAAGAGGGGCATGCAATAGGGCTGCAGTGGGGATACAACAGGGGAGAAATCTGGGGACATAGTGGGGCTTCCGTGGGGTACAAGGAGCATACCAATGGGAGTGTGCAAGGGGGATGCAACAGGAAGGTGGTGGGGTTAAAACAGGCTGCAAAGGGGCTGCAAGGTGGGTGCATGGGATGGGGCTGCAGCAGGTAGGATACAGTGGGGTGCACTGGGGATGTAAGGGAGCATAGAGAGAAAATATAACTGGGATACAAGGGGATGCAGCAGTGAAAGGAAGGTGATGCAACAAGGCTTAAGAGAGGATGCGGTATGGCTGCATTAGAAATATACAAGGATGGGTGCAACTGGGGTTACATCAGCGGTAAAGAGGGGAGTGCTGCACCTGCAACAGATTGCACAGCCCTCTTGCACCAGGAGAAAATGTAGTTAAATTGGAAATAACATAATCTCCTGAATAAATGCAAGCAAATTGCAATGAATCCTCACCATATCCATGCTATGATAAAGCACGTCCCTTTGGCCTGGCTGACTGTGAGAGCTGCAAGAAGTGCTGTGCAAAGGGCTCTACAGAGTTTCTGGCAATAACCCCAAGTGTTTGATAACATGAGCTTCCAGAAGACATTCATGAGGCCAGGCACAGGTGAGTTAAGCAGACATAATCCAGCTGTGCCACCAGCTCAGTGTCAGAAACCAAACTTGTGTTTGCTAATAGGCCTGACAACGCTTTGGGTAGCTTTTGTAGGGCTTTCATCTAAAGGGATTCCCAGCAAAGTTGGACTGAGCAAAGAGCTTTGGCTAAGGTGCCATAAGCAGACATGTGGGGCATTCCACACCTTTCTAAGTGCTGTTTGTGGCCCTGTTTGTTTGCACAGCCCTCCTGTGCCAGGCGCAGGGCTGGGAGCAGCCCGGGACATATCCTGTGGGATGTGTGCAGATGTGAGCAATGCAACAGGCATCAGTACAGATCACCCAGAAGGAACACCCTGTGAGCAGCTGTGATGAACCACTACATTTAGAGCAGGGAAGCCAGAGCAGAGTGGGTTTGTGTTGAATCATGGTGTGAGATAACCGAGGAGCTCCCGCATCCAGTGCTAATCTGCTCTGCAATCCTAACATCAATGCATGGCCAGGGCCCAGGGAAAGAGGTCACTGAGTGCCTGCTCCAGTTGCAATGGGAAAGGGGAGATCTTCGGCCCCCCTGAGCCACCACTTGGGGTTGGGGACAGCATGGGGACGCAGCCTTAGTCCTCAGAAAGGGGTCAGAAAAACCATCACAAACTGCCTTGTTTCCCCTAGGAACGTGGAAACTTTGCTTACGCAGACCAGGAGAACCAAGGCTTTGGCTTCCCCAAGCTGGAGGGTGGCATTGCTTCACCAGACCAAAAGCTTCCATGCAATTTCCCACCACTGGGTCACACAGAGAGCAAGGCAAGATGATTCGCACCCACAAGTGGCGGCACGCCGCTCTGCCACCATGAATCACTGTGCTGGGGTGACACTGCCCCATCTGTTCCCACTCCTAGTGCAATGCCATGAGCAGCCCCGGGGCAGCAGGTGCCCCTGGCACATTCAGGCCAGCTGCAAGGAGTGCCTTACCCTATGGCACACGGCCAGCAGCCACCTGCAGGGCAGGAATACGGTCCCTGCTCAGCCCCACGGCAGCTCCCAGTGCAGCCCCAGGCAGCTGTGCACCTCCCATTGCACAACCTGGGAGCGCAACCACAAACGCCCCTGGCTTCTGAAATGTTACCCAGCAAGAATTCGCATAGCCTGTTACCAGCTTTGAATAATATTTTTTTAACTCTGCTCAAAGCCCTCGCGTGCATGATGCGTGTTGTAATTATATCCTTCAGTGCTAACAATTGCTGTGCACTAATGGTCACAAAAGCTTGGTTATTTGGTGGCTGGAATGCCTTTATGGACCTGTAGTGCTGAAGCCTGGTGTAATCAGCGTGTGCCATGGGCTTCCTTCCATTTCATAGAATCATTGAATGGCTTAGGTTGGAGGAGAAACAGTACTTCAGGTGGGGCTTCACGAGGGCAGAGTAGAGGGGGCAGTCCCCTCCATCACCCTGCTGCCACACCTCTGTTGATGCAGCCTCGAGGACTGTGCTTTCTGGGCTGCAAGAGCACACTGCTGGTTCATGTCCAGCTTTTCGTCCACCAGGAACCCCAAGTCATTCACAGGGCTGCTCTCAAGGAGTTCTCACAGTCTGTACTCATATCTGGGATTGCCTCAACTCAGCTACAACACTTTGGACTTCACCTTGTTAAACCTACTTAGATTCTCATGTGCCTACTTTTCAAAAGTGTCCATGTCCCTTTGGATGGCATCCCTTCCTTCTGTTCTGTCAGCTGCACCACTCAGCTTGGTGACATCAGCAAACTTACTGAGGGTACACTCGATCCCACTGTCTACATCATTAATAGAGATGATGAAGAGCTCTGGTCCCAAGACAGACCCCTGGGGGACATCACTTGTGACGGTTTGGATGGATACACTCTTTGTTGGGTGAAGAACTGGCTGGAAAGCCAGGCCTAGAGAGTGGTGGTGAATGGAGTTAAATCCAGCTGGCGGTGGGTCACAAGTGGCGTTCCCCAGGGATTGGTACTGGGGCCTGTCCTGTTTGTTATCTTTACTGATGATCTGGATGAGAGGATTGAGTAAATTTGCAGATGATACCAAGATGGGGAGAACTGACAATCAGCCTGGGGGTAGGAAGGCCCTACAGAGGGACCTAAACATGTTGAATTACTGGGCTGAAGCCAGCGGGATGAAGTTCAACAAGACCAAGTGCCAGGTCCTGCATTCTGATCACAACAACTCCATGCAGTGCTACAGGTTGGGGGCAGAGTGGCTGGAAAACTGCGTGGAGGAAAAGGACCTGGGGGTTTTGTTGGTCAACACTCGGCTGAACATGAGCCAGCAGTGTGCCCAGGTGGCATCAGCAACTGTGCAGCCAGAGGGAGCAGGGGACTATCATCCCTGCACTCAGTTCTGGTGAAGCTGCACCTCCAGTGCTGTGTTCAGTTTTGAGCACCTCGCTATGAGTAAGACATAGAGGCCCTGGAGTATGTCTGGAGAAGGGTAATGAAGCTGTACAGGGGTCTGGAGCACAAGTCCTATGGGGAGTAGCTGAGGGATCTGGGATTGTTCAGTCTGGAGAGGAGGAGGATCAGGGGAGACCTCATCACTCTGTACAATTGCCTGAAAGGAGGTTGTGAGGTGGGGACCGGTCTCCTCTCCCAGGTAACAGTGATAGGACGAGAGGTGATGGCCTCAAGTTGCACCAGGGAAGGTCAGGTTGGATATTAGGAAAAACTTCTCCAAAAGAGGGGTTGGGCACTGACACAGGCTGCCCAAGGAGTGATGGAGTCACTGTCCCTGAAGGTATTCAAGAATGGTGGAGATGTGTTGCTGGGGGACATGGTTAGTGGGTGATATTGTTGGTAGGTGGACAGTTGGACAAGGTGATCTTAGAGGTCTTTTCCAGTCTTAATGATTCGATGATTCTATGAGAGGAAGCAGCCCAGCCGGCGGGTGGAGGATTGCTCCAGACATCCTGTGCCCTACTTTGCCATGGGGCACATGCAGACACATGATAAGGGATACATCCTGCCTTGCCTATTCCTCAGAATCTTCCTGAGAGGGGAGGAGGATGGATAGAAATTGCTTGAGAAATTGCAGAACTCCAGTATCTAGATGGTATTGCTGTGAGCCCAGAGCCTCACCATCCATACCTCTAGCCAGAGAATGGACCTCATGGAGGGGCTTTATGGGGTGACTGGGAGAAGAGCCTGCAGCTGTTGCTTGGAGGCAAAAACAAAGGAAAAACCAGCCTGCAGCAAAGCAGAAGGTGTGCCCATGGCCAGCATGGGGGATGCCACAGCCTCACATGGCAGGGATGGGTGGGGATGTGCCCAGCCCAGCAGCAGCACCTCCTGTGATCTTGTGCAAGAGCAGGACAGCCCGAGCTGCACCACCTCTGCGTTACAGTGTGGTACAAAGGGTAGAAGAAGGAGATAAAGCAGTGCAGGGAGGAGCTGGATCCCCAGCAAGGCCGCCTTGTATTACTACCTTCATGAGATGGGAGCTGAGTCAGCCTGACATAGAAGCTGCACTTAAGCAGGGAGGCAGGGAGTGGAGCTCAGGGCTGCAGCCCCCACGGGCCCTGCAGCAAACATTTGCTTTTAGACACTGAGATGGTAAGTGTATGGAAAGGCCCGTTTCTTCCAGATCTTGTCCTGCCCACATTCAGGGTGTGCCACCACCTTTCACCAGATCCTTGGTGCCCACCATCAGAGCCCATCAGCCCCCATCCAGCACCCCCTGCTCCCCAGGCTCTTTGCCTCTCACTGCGGGTCTGGCAGAGCCACAGCCCCTCCTGGGACAGCACTTTTAGCTCAGAAAAGTGAGCTGTCCTCAGAGCAGCGTCAGCGTCCCAGAGCTTCTTTGGAAGATGGAAGTGAGGGAAAGGAGGAAATGGCAATTCCTGTTCTTGATTGACACAGCCGAGCATTCTGACCTCTCAGCTGGCCGCAGAGGGACGAATGCACAAACACATCTGCACATATTAATAGGCACGCTCACAGCTGCTCATTTTGTCTAAGTCCCCGAAGATGTTGTTCTTTGTCTTGTTTTCGCTCCTCTGTTTCAACCCATCTCTGAGC